TTCCCTTTTTCCTCCCCAAAAAGTTCTTCAAGTGCCCCCTCAACATATTCAAATTTGTTACGTGGATCCAAGACGGAAGCAATAAAAATCATTTTATTCATCTTTTCAGGCTCACCCCAATACTTCTTGAACTTTTCTTGCATTCGCTCAGCCATTTTTTCTCAAATGCTCATCCTTACTAGCTAAACACATTTTCAAATGACAATAAAGTTCAGATACATCATCAAAATGAGAATTAAAAGTGACATAACGTGAACCTGAAACCTTTTTAGTTAGCTTGTTGAAATCTTGCAAGAAACTCTATCACATTCCTCACATTCACCTAATCATCAGATTCAAGAGGACCTGCACTACTACTATCTTCACAAAGATGAGAACATTGATAAGCAGAAAATCCATCATAAAAAAGATGAAACTTATCAAAGGCCTTTTCAAAGTGTTGTGCCGTATCCAACATCAAATAGGTGGAATTCCACCTAGTAGGAACATCCAAACACAACATTTTGGTACATTCTACCTTTATATCTACACAACACTGTTTAAACTTTAAGGTCCTTGCAGGCGAAGATCTCACATACCTTACAATATTTCTAACACGTGTCATAGAAGCATCAAGTTCTTTCAAACCATCTTGCACAATTAGATTTAGTATATGAGCCATGTATCTCACATGAAGATGTTTACCACTCATCATATTAATTTTCCACTTATCTAACTATTTAGACAATTCTTTGACTGTGACATCATTTAAAGAAGCATTGTCCACGGTAATAGTGAAAACCTTGTCTAATTTTCATTCAAGCAAACAATCCCTAATAGATTTAGCCATCTCTTCACCCTTATAACTAGTGATAGGGCAAAAGTTTAATATTCTTTTATGCAACTTCCAATCCCTATCAATGAAGTGGACTGCCAAACACATATAATTTATTATTTGTAATGAAGTCCATGTGTCTGTTGTGAGGCAAATTTTTGGTTGTGCTTCTCTAAAAGAACTTCTTAGATTTGGCTTCAATTCACCGTAAACTTCATAACAATCCCTTGTTATTGTTCTACGAGAAGGAAGACAAAATAGTGGTTGAGTTTTTCTCATAAACTTCATAAAGCCTTCATTTTCTACAAAGCTAAATGGTAGTTCATCAATAACTATCATCTCAATTAAGGCCCTCCTAACCACTTTTTGATCAAATTTCCAAATTGATCCTTCATCATTTTGGCAAGATTGAAAATTTATCTTTGTTTGACTATTATCTTTAGCAATGTTAAGTGGGTATTCTTTTTATCTAAGCAAATGATTCTTCAATCCTGTTGTTCCATTCTTAGATGAATTAGCAGCATAAGCTTGTTTACAATATCGACACCGTGCTTTCCCAACCCCATTAACCTCAAATTTATCAAAATGGTTCCAAACGTCAAACCTAGGTTGCATGGCTTTCCTTTTCTTGGAATCTTGAGTATCAATGATGTTGGTGTTACTATCTACCGTAATAGGTAAACTTTCACTTGAACCAACATCACTTACTCTACTTGTATCTGCCATCTATACAAAATTAAACAAATATAAACATAAATTAACAATCAACTAAAAGATGCTAACAGTAACACTAGCAGTTCTTTATGCTAACAATCAACATTCAACAGATGCTAAAAGATGCTATCCAAAATTAACATTCATCTTCATTTAAAAGATGCTAAAAGATGCTAACAATAAACATAAATTACTACAGTTTCTACTTTCTATCCATAGCATTAAACTTTGTTACATTCCAATATACATGGCCTAAAAATTCAAAAGCACATGCTATATGAAATGCTAATCAACTGTACTTTTCAAGTCCTTTGGCTTTTCCATTCTTTCTTGATAAATCCAAACAGAGAAGCAAATTGTTAACAATATTACCTCTTCGAAAATTCAAAGAGACTGTCTTTCCTACAATATTCCAAACTGAAGAAACACATTACAGAATTTCTAAATACTTCTAGTACATCAATATAAACATAGGAAATAAATTAAAACTCAACCAAATCTTCATACAACGGCCATCAAGTTGCTAATCATAAAGCAGAAATTTTATATAATACAAATGTTAAAAAACACACTAACTCATCAACAGTGAGAAGAGATTATGCTTTCTATCAGTAATTTTTTCCCAAGTACAAGTTGGAAAAGAGATTATATTGTAGATAACTAGATATGGAGACGAATTTCATCCAAGAAGAAAAGAGGGAAAAACTGTTAAACATGTGAAAACATACCTTTGAAAATTGAAACTATCGCAATCGCAACAACATCGTCTTCGTTTGCTCGAAATTTGTGAGTTGTGAGGAGTGAGGAGTCGGAGCTTAGAAGTCGGAAGTCGAAAATCGCCAAGAAGACGAAAATCGCAAATGCCCAAATCGCCAAATCGTCGCTGAATGCCTGAATCAACACTGTACTGTACTCTAAAGTCTAAAGACTAAATTGCTAAACCTAAATGCTAAATTGCTAATTCCCTAACCTACCGCTACCAGCAAACCTTTAGAGTTTAGAGTGGACTTGGGTTGGAGGGCTGCTGGGAATAAGGGTTTGCCGTTTGGGCTTGGGCGTTGGGCTAGCAGTAAGAAACTAAGAATTAAAAAAAATGTCTATTAAAAATCGGTATTTTGATATTTCGGTATACCAAAATTTCAGAATTTTAATACCGAGGACCGTACCGAAATACCGAAACTGTAATACTAAATTAGACCGAAATATCAAAAAAAACTGAAACCGAAATACCGAATTAATTCGGTCCGGTTCGGAATTCGATTTTTCGGATTTTATGCCCACCCCTATCTTTAGGTGTTTTAGGTGCCATTTGTTCAAAAAAAAATATATACAAAAAATAACATCAGGACATTATCTAAAAGATCAGTTAAAACTTCAATCTCTAAGAAGGCTGAAGTTCGACAGTTACAAAACAAAACTTCAGCTCTAAAGCTGAAGTTCGCCAGTTACAAAAACAAAAACTTCAACTCTAGAGCTGAATTTCGACAGTTACAAAAACAAAAACTTCAGCTCTAGAGCTGAAGTTCACCAGTAACAAAAAACAAAAACTTCAGCTCTAGAGCTGAAGTTCACCAGTAACAAAACACAAAAACTTCAGCTCACCACTTACAAAACACAAAACATTCAGCCCCATCCTGTAGTTTTTACAAAAAACAAAACACAAATTCAAATCCAAAAATAATGGCAAAACATGAAAATAAAACTTCAGCTCCTATCTAAGGTATCATCACTTTAATAGTATCATCTCTTTAACTCTCAATTTTTTTTTTTTAAATTTGGACGTCTAATCACTGAAGAATTTATAGAATTTTCATCAACAACATAAAAACTCATTCAAAAAATTTAAAAACACAATCGTAAAAGTAAAACTAATGCACTTATCAAACTAAACACTAAGAAACTATTTAATCATAAATACATGACTATCAAAACCAAAACCAGAAAAAACCCAGAAAATCGTAAAATAAAACCCAGAAAATTAATGCAATATACCTGTGATTAAATCGTAATGTGGGAACAACGACGAATAGCAGTTGAAAAATCAAAACAACGACGAAAACCCTTTGATTTCAGAAAAGAACAAATCAAAAAACGCGAATAACGGGAGAGAGAGACAGAGACAGTAAAGGACTAGCGTATACTTGGAGAGAAAGTAGTCTTTTAATGAAGAAGGGCAAAATAGTCTTTTTAAAAGACTTTTAACAAAAAAACGAATACGGGTGCAAACAGAAAGACAAAACGGCTACAGATTAAAAAGGGGCGCCCAAATAGGCGCCCCGTGCAATTTTATCGTTTGTAGTGTGGTATTCAAATTGGTCTTCTTTTATTACTCCGACTACTCTCTCTCTTTCTCTTTTTCTTATACTCCTAGTAACTTTGACCGAAAGGAACTTTATTGACTGACAAATCTAGTTTGCTTGTGATGGATCCTCTCATGTGTTACAACGTGATATCTTCACAAAAAATAAAAGAGTGAAACCAAAAAGAAAAGGATTTTTGTAAACTCAAGGATTATTTTAAAATTGTCCCCAAGTACTACCCAAATGATAGTTCGACTTTCACCTATGAGAATAATTAATGAAGACCGAAGACTAAGGAAATGGATTATGGGTCATCACAAAGAAAGTGTTTACTTCACATTTGTTCGACTCGTAAAAGGGTTGGACCAACCAAAAAAAAAATCTCTGTAAAATTTTAACGGGATGTTCCTTTTTAGGCCAGACACTTTTTAAAAATCTTTGTAAGGTCTCACTCTCTTCCTTCATTCAAGTTCATTGAAAATTTTAAAGTTTAAATATGGCGGTCTAAAGCGTAAAAGAATTATAAAAAATATTATGACCAAACTCTAAATTTTTTGGTCTAACTGTCTAAAGACAGTTGTCTGGAAGATTTCATTCAAATTCACTCGGAACTTTAGACCCGATGGTATAAAGTTGTAGAAGAACTATGAAAAATGTACGATCAAACTTTCCACTTGGTCTAACGTTAAGGTTTCACGCACCCAATTTCATTGGAACTTTAGACTCGCTGGTTAAAGTTGTAAGAAAGTACAAAAAATTTATGACCAAGCGGTAGCATATATTTCACTTTATTTCGGTTGTGTAGCTTATATTTTCACTTTTTTTTAAAAAAAATATGGACAAAATATAAATAGTGGCTTCAAATGGGGCTATTCGTGCACTTCAGCTAACTCGAAGTATCTTGGGATTTTTACACAAATAGTCGATCATATTAATTGTTTACTTTTTCTAGTTATATACATATATTATATATTTTATACACAATTATACTGGCTATTTTTACTTTAAGCGATAGGGTAATCGGCTATTTGGATTAATTCTTCAAGTATCTTACTGTCTTCGAATTTGGGCCTAATTTTGTGACAGCTTAGGAGTAAGCCCAGTGGGTCGGAGGAGGGAATTTTAGCCCACATGAAGCCGCGAGTATGGAAAGAGGGAACACACTCAGAAACGCGAGTACAGCATACCAATTTCGAGCCCTAATCATTTGAATTGGCAAAAACTGTACTCTCTATACTCGCTCCCAAATATTCACTGCTCATCACTCTTCTTTGCTGTGATCATCACAATTCTCTACTCGCACCGTAATTCTCTACTTGCTCTCTTTCCCTACATGTATTTTCATGAAAATCTACTCGTATTTCATACCGTATTTGTACAGGCATACATTTATTCTTTTGTAGAGTATTTTTGTTCTTTTCTACATATGAACAGTTTGGTTATTTTTGTTTCCATTATTATATGTGCAAAAACTACTAAGCTGATACATCATACATGTGTGTGATGTCTACTCGAGAATGCTTTGATAAGTCTTGCTAATTTGCTTGCATGTTCTGTTACAGGTGAATCTCCTTTTGTAAGTATATATGATATGTCAATTTGGAAAAATTGAAATGGAAAGTTAAGTGCGTTTGGTACGACGGAAGTCATTCTTAATGGAAAATTTTAGTGAATGAGGCGAGGATATTTTATTAGTTAATCAAAAGAGAGTATTGTGGTGAAATTTTTGAGTACTAAAGATTAATAATAATGTCTAAGTGTTAGTTGAAACAAGTAATATGACGTTAAAAGTTCATATAATTGTGAGCAAAATAACTTTTTCCCATTTGGCGCAGTTTAAACTTTAAACGGCATATGGACATGTTTGTTGGATTTCTCCCTTATATTTTCCCTTTATCGGTATATTTTTGAAGGGACCTCGTGGGTGCCACCCGTACAAAAGCTATATGGAGCTATAACAACATCCACAGATGCCCTTAGCTCATCCAAAAACATTAGCTAAAATAAATTAGTAACAGGGGCATCACTTTTAATCCAATAAAACAACTTGTTCAAATAACCACAAATGAAATTTCATTAGTTTCAATTTTGGTTTTCCACGAAACCTGGAAACCTTTCAGCTTCCTTCAATAGAGCATGGTGTCACCAGTAGGGACATCAAATGTGTGAAGGTATTATATTTGGTACATTTTGACAATATGAGCCTATCTCCTTTAAGTTAATATCCTGCACTTTGCAGAAAAAGCAGAATACTTCGAAAGAGTGGACATTGGCGTTCCATAAATGTGTGAATAATCTTTGCCAGTGTAGTTTTAAACACTCAAAGATTGGCCACCTGAGACCAATATCTCTGTGCTTGGACATAATGTTTCAGAAACTATATTTACTGGATGAATTTTTTCTTTCTCTAAGTAGAAACAAAAAATTATAATTTGTGGATGTCTTGACTAGAACTTACTCTGTGATAGGCATAATAATGACCAATTATGAACGGACGTGTTTCAGGCACAAGGTTGACTACCTGGATTGGAGGAACACATCTTACCTCAATGGTAATTGACCTTGAGCATCCATCAGGCGATCAGCACAAGGAGAAAGAAGACTGTGGGCACCATATATGTGGAGCTACTGCCACTGCTTCAAAGAGTGTTTGCCTGGACAGAGGGAATGCAGGACCTAGTTGGAATGAAGGAACATCTAATGGCACCTATATATTGCCAAATGCAGATTCTTTGGCTGTGAATTGCTACAGAGGTTTGGAGCCACATGATGGTATGGAATTCGATTCGAAGGAGGATGCCTTTTCGTTTTACAAAGAATATGCTAAGTCCATCGGATTTTTCTCAATAATAAAGGCTAGCCGTCGTTCAAGAATTTCTGGAATATTTATTGATGCAAAATTTGTTTGCAGTAGGTATGGAAGTAAGCAAGAACCTTCTACGTCCGTTACAGAACCTGTTCCAAGTGCTGATGGCGCAGGAAGTATTCCTGTGAGGAGAAAAAAGGGTAGAATAAACAGGTCTTGGTCAAAAACAGATTGTAAGGCTTGCTTGCATGTAAAGAGAAGGTCTGATGGAAGGTGGATTATTCGTACTTTTGTCAAAGAGCATAACCATGAGACATTTCCAGATCGGACCAACTACCTTCGAGGTCATAGGAATACTGATTTGGGTAAGAATGGTGCAGATGCATTTCATTCTATCTGTGGGAGGACGAAAAAGACTTATGTGACAATGTCTAGGCAATCTGGTGTGATGAAGAAAGTTGAGAAGCAAAAGAATGTTGGCACAAAGAGCAGTCCTCAATCTTTGGCTTTAGATGAGGGAGATGCACAAGTTATGCTTGAGCATTTTCTTTACATGCAAGATGAAAATCCAAACTTCTTTTATGCAATGGATTTGAATCAAGAGCAACGCTTGAGAAATGTATTTTGGGTTGATGCTAAAGGAAGGATTGACTATAGTAACTTCAGTGACGTAGTTCTTGTTGACACTACATATATAAAAAACGATTATAAGTTGCGCTTCGTTCCTTTTATTGGTGTTAATCATCATTGTCAGTCCATATTGCTTGGGTGTGGGCTGATTGCCAATGAGAGTAAGTCGACATTTGTTTGGTTGATGCGAGCATGGCTTAGGGCAATGGGTGGACAAGCTCCAAAAGTTATACTGACTGATCAAGACAATACATTGGAAGAAGTTATTGCTGAGGTTTTACCAGATTGCTGCCATTGCTTTTGTTTGTGGCACGTACTGAGTAATATCCAGGAGAAGCTTGGTCATGTCATTAGGCAGCATGAAGATTTTCTCTCCAAATTTAATAAATGCATTTTGAGGTCTGCGACCAATGAATTGTTTGAAAAGAGGTGGTGGAAGGTGGTTGATAGATTTGATTTGAGGAATGACTTGTGGATTAAATCATTGTACAAAGATCGCCTAAGGTGGGTACCAACATTCATGAATAATATCTTCTTGGCAGGAATGTCTACAATGCAACGGTCGGAAAGCGTGAGCTCTCTTTTGGAGAAGTGCATGTTATGCAGGACGACACTGAAGGAGTTTCTTGACCAGTATAAGAAACTGCTGCGAGAGAAATGTCAAGAAGAGGCAAGTGCTGATTCTGAGACGAGGCATAAACAACCAGGACTGAAATCTCCCTCCCCTTTTGAAAAGCAGATGTCAACTTTATACACTCATACAATATTCAAGAAATTCCAAGCCCAGGTTTTGGGAGTGGTTGCATGTCACCCTAAAAAAGAAAGTGATGATGGTGCAGCTGCCACATATAGAGTCCAAGATTTTGAAGAAAATCAAGAATTCGTTGTTGTATGGAGTGAGAAGACATCTGATGCATCATGTTCTTGTCATTTGTTCGAGTATAATGGATTTCTTTGTAGACACGTGATGATAGTTCTTCAAATGGCTGGTGTGCATAACATCCCCTCTAAATATATTTTAAGTCGCTGGACTAAAGGTGCAAAGAGTAGAGAGAAGATGAGAGAAGTAAATTTGGTTGATTCTAGGGTTCAACGATATAATGATCTATGTCAAAGGGCATTTGAGCTAGGCGATGAAGGGTCACTATCTCAAGAGAGTTATAATATTGTATTCAATGCACTGGAAAATTTTCTGAGAAGATGTGAGGCTGTGAATGATCCAAATTTAAATGAGTCAGAACCTTGTTTTCCCACAAATCAAGTATTCATAGATGGTAACAACCCAAGCAAGAGTAACGGAAAGAACATAGCAAGGAAAGAGAAGGTAGTAAGTTATTGATCTTCTTTTACTGAGTGTTGATTGAGTTTATCCTTATATTTTTTTAGGTATATACAGAACAAAAGATTATATCCGTGGGGATAAACAGTAGATGGCAACAGATGGTTATTTTCTATCATAGCATTACATAAACGTACGTGCACCTAAGACGGAACTATTGATTGATTAATATTCCATATATGTTGCAGGGGCAATCAGGTTTGGGAGAACCGACTGTTGATTATCCTTTTCAATCGCATTCAGCCATGCAGCCAATGGTGTGATGATTTTTGTTTATAATTTTTAGTGTTGTATGGGGAGAGCTAAATAACAAATGTCTTGTAATATAATCGCTACTCCCTTCGTTTCATTTTATGTGGCAGTGTTTGACTGCGTATGGAGTTTAAGAAAGAATTGAAATTTTTTGGAACTTGTTGTCTTAATCATGCCATGGCATTTCTGTGGCTATAAAAGCATGTCAGGGTAAAAGAGGAAGTTTAAAGTTGAATTGTCTTCAAATATAAAAAAGTCTCATCCTTTTTTGAATAGCTTAAAATTGAAAGTGTGCCACATAAAATGTAACATGGAGAGTATTATAAATTTAGAATCATTTGTTTTGTGATCCGAATTCTATGATATATAATAGGGCCAAATAAACGCTAGATTTCCAGCTCCTGGTGGCTACTATAGCAGCCCCCAAATTATTCAAGGAGTGGTATGTAATTCTACTTACAATTTGTACATCTGCATGCTGTGTATGTGGCATTTCAGTTCATCAGGATAACCGAACTATCCAGCCAGTTTTTGCCTTTTGGTGCAGGGACAATTGAATACAAATATCCAAGCTTATGGCAACCAACCAAACATGCCGGGGCTGGTGATTAATTTAAGAACTCCAAGCACTGATGTATTCTATGATTTCTGGTGTTATCTCAAACTAACAATTCGGTTGGCTTTGTTCTTTTCTAGGGACAGTTGAATACAATTGCTTCAATTGCAGATTGCCCTTATCTCTCTCAACCTACATTCCATGGACTGGTACCATCTATACATATGTAAAAGATTATTTGTTGTGTGTCAATATATCATTGCCTGTGGCTTTGCTAAAGTGGCAGATAGCCTATTTCGCTTAGAAAAGTACCTCAAAAACCAAATCCAATGGATTTTGTGCCTTACTGAAGTCAGACCAAAGTGTTAACTGTGAATACACCACCATGACCTCTACTCCCTACTTTACATATTGCATTTTGCCCGGAAAATTTGCATCCAAGTCCATTTCCAGGAATAACTACAACGTCACGTGACAATCTTTTTTCTGTATTTCTATTTTTTCTGTGGGTTTAGTTTGACTGTCTGATGTTTAGAGAAGATCAAAATTTTGTTCGGGTTTGGTGTTGGTCTTGATGGCGTTTTAGGGTCCGAGTCACAGTTTATCAAAGTCATGAAGTACATTTTAGTTTTCTAGTGTTCAAAAACATTCCAGCCCCGGTACAATTGTCTTGCGAAAACTTTTTTCTCAAAACTTATAATCCAAACACACTTTTTATAATTATGGGGTTCGAGTCAGCTTGCGCACACTTCGACTAATTCCACGTGGGACCTACTATATCCCACCAACACACGTATTGGGTAACTATGTCTCTGTCTGCTAAGGCTTGAACAAATGAGAAGAAATCACTTAGTGTTTTTGCCTCTGCTGGAATTTGAACCTGAGACCTTATGGTCCTCAACACTTCACTGATGTCTAGGTCACACTCTTGGGTGCAATAATCCAGCCACATTTCCCAGAATTATTTTCCAAAGAATAAACCCAAACCCAGTCCAAAAGCTATCTTAGTGTAAGAGCAACCTTTTCCCGTCTATGGATGGGTAACCTTCAACTAAATAATTCATATTACGCCTGATATCAGATTATCATTGTACTCTCTTGTAGGGATAAATGTATTTTAGGCCAGCAGTTGCTCAAAGTTCTTTTGGTGTTCAGAACAGTTTGCAGGAGGTGGGTATACCTTATGCTCATTTTGCCTTGTATCTCTCTTCTTGTTTTACCACCATTTTGTACAATATACTTAATTTCTTCCCGTTTTTCGGTTCAATCATCAGTCTAGCATGGCTAATACACAGATGCTGCGCTTGGCCATGGCGAACAAAAATTAGGAATATTTGGTTTTTCTTCATTATCACAAGAACTTATGAGAATTTGTTGCTTTCTTTGTGCAAATGCACAAATAATTTGGCATGTATTTTTATCATGAATCTTGTGGCTTCTAATAGTAATTAATTTGACATTTACCCTTTATAGCTGCTCAAAAATTTTGTGAACAGTATGAAAAACTAGCCATAGGATCTCATACAACATGCGTATTCTCGTTATAATTAGCCATCATCATCCTTCATCCCCTTGTCTTTATGTAGATTTATAGACTGTAACTTGTTGGCTCAACACATTGTTATATGAATTCTTTGTTTTGCCCCGTTGGATCTTACTCTGGCCTACCGCCAAGTTTTCTCCACCAGAGGCGGAATTGGAGTATTTGTAGTGGAGTTCAATTGAAGTCATATTTTTACGGGGTATTATCACTTTTAGTCAGTGCCAGAAATTATTTACATTTAGCAGCCAGAAAAGTGTATAAATTGTATATAATTTTTATATATAACATACAGAATGTATATATATATATAAAAATATTTTTCGACTGATATTTTGATAGCGACTATACAATATCATTTCCCTATTTTCATTGTAGACCATAGATATTAAGATATATATGTGAAAAACTCTTGAGAGTAGTATAAACATTAAGTAATGAACTCATATTTTAAAAGAATTTAGAACCTTGTACTCGTTAAGTTTTTAAGTCCTATATTTGAATTTGATGAACTGAATTATGACTTATTATTTAGTCTAAATTAATCAAACCTATTTTAATTGAAGCAAACCTTGGACACGCTAGATAATGAATTTTTATGAATTCAACCGCGTTCTTGTTCGATTTTGTTCAAATTCATCCGTTGTCACTTAGAGATTTCTAAGACTTGACTAGATACAAACTCAAAATATTTTTACTCGATTTAGTCAACTCTCAAAGACGAATCTAGGATTTGAAAATTGAGGGTACACCACTTTTAATATGAACTTATAACTCTCCGTAAGATTGAATAAGGGCGTGCATCTGGTCAATTCAAATGGTTTTGAATTATTTCAATTCATGTAATGACGTCGACTCTCATGGAATAAAAATTATTATCTCATAATTGATTCACATATATAAATAAAATTAAAAGTGAAAACGAAAAAGAAATGATCTTGAATAGAATAAGATAAAAGAGCGAAAGCAATTACTACCTCTTTTCAATTTAGATGAGTTAGTTTGACTCGGTACGTATTTTATAAAAAAAGAAAACTTTTGAAATTTGTTGTGTTAAAAACTTTAAGGGGTCATAACATTTGTGTGGTTATAAAAGCTTCTAGTAACTCGTCTAATTCAAGTTTCTCAAATTGAAAAAAAAACTATTAAAAAAGTAAAAAAGAAAACAAGACAAAAATGGAATAACGGCGGCAAAAATACGCAAAAGCAGAGAAGCAAGTAGTAACCCTACTACCGAGTGGAACAGAAAGCTTCACATTATTCATACCACAATGCTTGGTCTCACCAGAGCTACGACTTCCGCCTCCGCCTCCGCCTCCGCCACCGCCGCAGCCACGTCAGCTACCGCCACTGTTCACCTCTGCACTCCGCAGCTCCGCACCATCAGAACAAGAACTAATTTTTGCTTCGGCCAACAACAGGTATTGACAAAAAAAGACTAATGAAACAAAGCACTCCTATACAGTTTTTCTTCTCTTTTTTTATTCTAATTTTTTATAGTTGTCTTTTTGGTTCAGTCCTCAACGACGTCGCATAGGGTGATAGTTCATCCAGTGAAGGCCATGGCTGAAACTGCAGCCGCTCCTCACTCTGCTCCTAAGTCCCCCACTTCTGGTATATTTCTTTTCTAGTTAACCCTTTAATTTTCTGAGATGTGGGTAATAGCCCTCCACTTTTTGAATGGAATAAAGGAATGCTTGAGGTTATATGTTCGTGTAGTAGAAGTCAGACCACTGTTTAATCACTTCATCAATTTAGATTTTTGAATGTAACAAATGTTAGTTCACGCGCTATACTTTCATTTGAACTTACTGTTTATGTGTGTGAAATTTTTTAGGGAGGAAGCAAGCCTTGATATCGCTTTCAGATAAAACGGATTTGGCTAAGCTTGGCAATGGTCTGCAGGAATTGGGGTAAACGTTGCAGAAATGATTGTTCTTATTTTGCAAATTAATTGACGGATCGTTGTAACATCTACAAGTAAAATTCCTTTGGCTTAGAGCTGTTAGTGTGTGTGTGTTAGCGAAGTGAATATATAATCATATGTACAAGACTGTCAAGCTTCACATGAAAATGCATAATCCTAATCTGCATTGACCACTTGGAAATTTAAAACTTAAAATTTTGACCACTATATGTTGAGAGGAAGTGGCATTTTCTCCATTTCTCAGTGTTGTTATCTTATCATCTTGGCTTAATCTATTGGAGCCAATGCCCCCTGTCTAGTTGCTTTGTGCTCCTTTTGATTAAACTGTACGCATTATCTTGTAAATTAAAGTGTCTAACTTACTACTTGTATTTACTGGGAAATACTTATTTACATTCCATGGGATAAGTTCTCAATTTGCAAAGACATCTTATTTCCTATTTTGCAGGTACACAATTGTTTCAACGGGAGGCACAGCATCAGCATTGGAGGGTGCTGGTGTGTCAGTCACCAAAGTGGAAGAGCTGACACGCTTCCCTGAAATGGTAAGAACTCTTGACCAATGTTTTAAGGTAAAATTGGGACTCGCCATGGGGCGGGGCAGTCGACCATGGGGTGCTTAAGTCTCACGGGCTAGCACCTCGATATGTGGGCATTCGACCCATATGTACTTTACACCTTGGGCTGTCTGGCTTATGCATGCTTTATGCATTGGATTGTCTGCCCTGTACACCCTTAGACATTTTCCTTTTTATATTTTCTTGTAAAACTTTGAATATAACTTATATGATATGTTGTTCTCTATAATATAGAACTTGGTGAATTGGAATATTATATATGCTATGCATTAATAGTTAAAACAATTTTTATACATTTTTTGCTATTGCAGTTTGATTTATTTATTTTTATAAGATTTCTTTACTTAATGTATTCTTAATAAAATAAAAAATGTGTGGAGTACGCCATGATAGGTGAAATGCCAACCCTTGCATCTAATCTTTTTTTTAAGGACCCTTGTAACTACACTTCCTAACACACTGTTTTTGACCTGCTTTACTTTTATTGTCTTTGCAGTGATGGTTTACTTCTTTTTAGCTGCCTAACTTTGTTTTCTACATAAGATTATTATACCATTTTTTTTCTTTGGCAATTTCAAGTTTCTTGCTCATCTTTGTATTATTCGTTATATATATTTTTCAAAAACTTTTTTTCTTAATGCTTGGTCCAATAAATGTTGTGTTACACATCCTTGTAGTTGATTTTATAACTTCCATCTGCAAATGAGAGCGGTGACTCATGGCAGTAAATTTCAAAAACACAACTGAATTTTTTTTCTCCTTTTCACAGCTTGATGGTCGTGTAAAAACTTTGCATCCAAGCGTTCATGGAGGTATTCTTGCTAGAAGAGATCAGGAGCATCACATGGAAGCTCTTGAAAAACATGAAATTGGTGAGCTAATTGATTTATATTATCAAAGCAACTTTATGTTATTGTTATTTTAATGTCGCTTTTAGAAACTTTTGTTATCAATGACTTGGTGACATATCAGATTCATGTTGATATTTTTGGAAACGAAACACAGAGTAATGAGGTTGAAGGGCCTTTGGGAGCTCCTGGTTTCACGTAGAGATTGTTTTGATAACCTGAAAGTTTAAGGGTGAAATTTTAAGAATACTAAGTATCAAGATTATTAATTTAGAATTTTGTAAATGTTATAAATGTAAATTTGTTATAACCTTTTACAGATACGAAACTACTACAACAACAACAACAAGAACTATGCCTTAGTCCCAAACAAGTTGGGATCGACGATAATCCTCATTCCTTTCATTAAGTTCATCTCATATCATCATCATTACCAAAATAAAACAAAAGTGCAAGTAATATATATATAACAGTAATAATAATAATAATAATGATAGAGGTTCTCTATGAAATCTAAAACCTTATTCCCAACAAGTAGGTATCACCTATATGGATTTTCCTCTTCCGTTGTGCCCTATCTTTAGTTAAGTTTCCATTGATTCCAAGGAATTATAGGTCTTTCGAGACAACTTCCTTCATGCGATTTTAGATCTACCCGTACCTTTTTAACACTTTCCCCCACCATAGTTTCACAACTACATATCAGTGCATCTGTAGGTCAACGCAGGACATGACCAAACCATCTCAAGTGACATTCTATCATTTTGTCCTCAATAACATGTGCGATTTGTTAACTTTTCAATTTCTAAAATGCACATATTTATATTTTAACCTAATTAAATAGTGACATTGGTTGAGTTCCATGTAACATGATTATCAAAGTATTCCTATTCAAATATCACGTCTAACTAAATAGTTAGCCATTTTTGCTTGAGATTATTGTCTATTTCCGAAGTGTTATATTCCATCCACTAATAGACCATTTTTAGTTTTAATCAGTAGCCAAGTTTAACATTTTAGTGGCGCTTGCTGTATGTACTGATCTCTTTAGTTTCATTAACATTCAAATGAATTGGCCAATCACTTAATACTTTAAATTTTAAGTGCTGAAATCAGTTATTCAAACAAACCCTTTATGTTGCATGTGCAGCAGTTGATTCCTTTTGCCTCTTAAGCTTGTTTTCCATTTATGTTTGCTTGAGACTAGTCAATTGTAGATATTGTTGGTGTTTATCAGAGTAGGATTTTACATTCATGTTTCCTTAATATGCTGATGAATATTCAGATCTTTAGCTTTTAGATGGAACTTATCCAAATATTGGGAAAAACACTAGATAGTGACTTCTGTGTATCAAGCTTTATGTCGCAAGCAAACAATATTTTGCAATATGAAAGTTCTTACTGCTTTGTTACTAAAAAGCCGGTGCTCTGGCATACATCTACTCTTCGTAGGAGCATGATGTGATACTAGGAAGCAAATGAAATTCACGAGGTTTCTTCTGCAGGTACATTTGATGTTGTAGTGGTCAACTTGTATCCTTTTTATGCCAAGGTTTCTTCTTCAAGTGGAATTTCAT